TAACTTTTTTTTAAAAATATTTATTTATTTATTTTGTGTATGGCCAGCTCAGCCCACCAGGGGGCGGGCTGGTTGGCATGTGGTGCTGGGGGATTGAACCGCGGTCCCTGTGTTTTGCTTAGCTTAGCTTGTTCCAAGTAGGTGCTCCAGACCACTGAGCCATCTCACCAGCCCCGAGGCTGCAGTTTTAGATTTCTCTGCTTTTTCTTGGGCGGTCCACTTGTGGGAAATCAGTCACTAGCAGTTTATTGCAGGAGGACAGGGTACTAAAGGCTGAAAAATGAAAAGGATAACAAATTATAAATACAACAGCATAACTTACTATGTTCCTGCTGGTCTAATTATTGTAAATTGAGTGTGCTCCCCTTTTGAATTATTGATGCATGACTTCTACATGAAAGACATTTGAGAGACTTGATTAAAGGAACTAGAGCTATTTAAAGGCTAGTCCATCCATGCTGTACTCCTACTAAGAGGCAGAGGTATTTCTGGGGATACAAACTAAGTCTCTTTTTCCAGACAGCCCAGGTTGGAGGGACCCTTGTCTTTTTTTTGTTTGTTAATGTTTTTTTGGTACCAGGAATTGAACTCAGGACTTGGAGCTTGCTAGGCGGGCACTATGCTCCTGAGCTAAATCCCCAGCCAGGGACCCTTGTTTTGTTTCACATTTCATTGAGGGAAAGAAGTAGTCAGACTAACATCCTTTCCCTGCCATTGGTAATGCCTTCCAAATCACTTATGTAACCTGCCTCAGCCTAATTGATGAAATAAAATGCATGCATGATCTGCTTTACAAGGGTGGATGAGTGAAAAACACAGAACATCTGCCTATTCCATCCTAGTTAGGTGCCATTTTGATCTGTAGGAATTAAATGCCTAAGTGTGAGAATGAACATTGATTTCCTTGTTCAGTAGTTTTGTTTATTTGCTTATTTTTTTGTAATGTTTTAAATTCTTGAGTATGGATTGGGTTTCTTCTTGGTAAGTATAATGTGAATTATTTCTATAGTGCCTTTTCACTTGGGTGAACAGGTTGTGGAATTAGATTTGAAGACAGTAGTCCCGTGCTGCAGTGGACCCAAAAGGCCTCAAGACAAAGTTGCTGTGTCTGACATGAAAAAGGACTTCGAGAGCTGCCTCGCAGCCAAGGTAGGGGTCTCCCAGCTCTGCCTATTCCAACACCTAGGCTTCTGCCTCAGTCAGTAGTGAATTGTTCTCAAGTCTGGTGCTGCTGAGTTTTCTTCTCTATTTTAAAATCCCAGTGACTGTTAACAGTGGCCCAAGCAGCTTCCTCAGGGCATGTGCTTGCTTGTCACATGATGCACCGTGTTGTCCACTCTGCTCGCCCAGGCTGTTCAGGTCTTTGTACTTTGTTCCTGCCACCCGCTGCCTGCATGTCTGTTCTCCATCTGTTGGGTCTCGTTTCTTCAGTGTCATAAGCCTCCGCTCAGATAGTGGCCTTCTGGCCTCAGTATCCCAGAACAGCAACCTGCCTTTACCTAACTTGAACTTTATGGCGCTAAGTCAGAAACGTTTGGCAAGACTCCATAGTCTTTAATTTATGTTGTTGCTTCTTCATTTTTTTTTAAATTTTTTTTTAACATTTTATTTTATTTGTGTGTGTGTGTGTGTGTGTGTGTGTGTGGCCAGCTCAGCCCACCAGGGGGCGGGGCTGGTTGGCATGTGGTGCTGGGGGATTGAACCGCGGTCCCTGTGCTTTGTTTAGCTTAGCTTGTTCTAAGTAGGTGCTTTAGACCACTGAGCCATCTCACCAGCCCGCTTCTTCATTGTTGCATGTGTGATTTCCCTTACTGGACTCTAGAGTGGAGGATTTGTATTGGAATCATTTTGGTACCCACATGGTTCTGAACATAATGTCTTGCACACAGATTTTTCAGTGAACATTTCCTAAATGAGTAGGACAGTGGTGGATCCTACTGATGGGATACCAGCCTTACAGCAGATCTTCATCTGTACTTTTTATTACTGGTCATGATTAGTTGAATCTGGTCAAAATGGCATCTTTCTCTAAAATTCCAAGAGATTAGAAGCAGAAGCTTTAGTCTGGATCTAGGAGTATACAATATTGTTATTGTACAATGTCATGGAGTTCTATAGAGACCAACTTTAAATTTACAGTTTTTGTATTTTCATTTTTGAGAAGAGAAAAAAATGACAATTACTAAATTCAGTTCAGAATAAGATTCAAGAATTATGGTTGCCTTTTGTAATAAATCTTTAGAAGAAATAAGGAAGTTTAGTTTTTCTGTAGCATTTTGGAATTATTAGCAGAGACATTTGTGTTTTTAATAATTGACTTTTAAAATTATTGTTAGGTATGGTGGTGCATGCTTGTAATCCCAGCCACTTGGTAAACTGAGGCAGGAGGATCACAAGTCAAAGGCCAGCATGGATAACATAATTTATCTTTTTTTGTGACCCTTTCACAAAAGAAAAAAAAAATTAAGATTATCACTCAGTGGAGTAACCCTGGACTGTATTTCCCAGTATAAAAACAAAGCATGCACATACACACAAAATCAGTTAGTTACTAGGGTATTCTTTCTTCTTCCAAAATGAGAAATTTTGATTATATGCTTTTTTTCTTTGTACAGCAAGGATTTAAAGGATTCCAAATTGCTCCAGAACATCATAGTGACCATAAAGTGTTTATCTACAATAATAGTGAATTTACCCTTGCTCATGGTTCTGTGGTTATCGCTGCCATTACTAGCTGCACAAACACCAGTAATCCATCAGTGATGTTAGGAGCTGGTAAGTACATTTGAGTCCATCTACTGGCTGAAATATCTATACAAATACCATCTAAAACATTTTTTTTTTTTTTTTTGGTGGAACCAGGGATTGAACTCAGGACCTTGTGCTTGCCAGGCAAGTGCTTATTCTACTGAGCTATCTCCCTGGACCATCCAAAACATTTTTTAAAAATTCAAGTATGTAATCTGCCTTCTTAAAATTAGGACAAAAAAAGAAGCTGTTTCTGGAAAAGCTTAGAATTGTGTTATCCTTTGGGTGAAAGAAAAAAAAAAAAGAAACTTTTGTTACAGACTTTGTTCCCCTGTGGAAGCCCTGATGGGGGAGAGTTAGTGCTGTCATGGTACACTGGCAGGTGCATCTAAATTAGGCCCTCGGGCACTGATTGATAAAATGTAGTATACCTAACCTGTTGTGCAGCTGTGGCTAAATAGTTAATATTACATGCAGGGTTCTTCTCTTACAATATCTCTTTCATTTCCAAATGTTTAGTCATCCTCAAGAATTTCCATCATTCCACAGTCCAGTAGCAACAGTTCCTTCTTTATGGGAAAAAGGAAGAGTTTTCTGTGGAATTCATCACTTTCCACCTTTGCTCACTTGTCTGGAGTACGCCATTTTTTTTCAGACCTGTCTATCAGCAGCTTCTGTAGCACTCTGTCCTTTTACACCCTCTCCCCTCCTCCTCATTTCTGTCCAGTCTCTGTGACACTTCGTATGTCAGGGCAGCTAATTTTCCAGTAATAGAATAGACTGCGCATTTGCCCAGAGTCCAGAGGCTCAGGGGGTTCTTGATCTTCCACTTGAGGAATAGCTATAGTATAGATTTTTACTTTTCTGATGACTGTATTTCTCACCAATCAGTGCACAATTTGTGTATTTTCCACCCAATTGTAATTTTCATCCAAATCAAAAAATTAGAAAATTAAAAAGATCAATTTACCTTTCTTCCAGAAATTAAAAATTGAGTTTGTAGCATATTTCTGGGTGAAATCAGGGTTTATCTCTTTAAAAAACAAATGAAAAGGAAGCACAGCTCTCTTCCTTTTCGTGATTACTTCTGACCCTGTTGCATAAATATAAGTAACTATAGGCCAGTGCACTTTTGATTTCTGTTGAAAAAAACGCCATCAGGAAGGGAGCCTTGTCAGACAGTAGCAAGACATAAGTAGAAATCAAGCTGAATGTTTCCTGAATGTTCTTGCCACTTTGAGCTGGCAGTTACCCACACTGTCTGTGTTTACCATTTCGCAGGATTGTTAGCAAAGAAAGCTGTGGATGCAGGCCTGAATGTGAAGCCTTACATCAAAACCAGCCTGTCTCCTGGAAGCGGTGTGGTCACCTACTACCTACGAGAAAGCGGAGTCATGCCTTACCTGTCTCAGCTTGGGTAAGGGAGGGTTTTCTTTCACAGCATGCACTTTTGCTGGTTGTGTTGTTCAGGCTTTCTAAGCTCTGGGTTCTGATGTGATGCCACAACCTCCAGGAGGAGGGGTTCCCTTTCTCACCTGCACTAATGTAGCCCGGGGATCAAACATTTGATTTTTTGAGACAGATTAGTTATTAGTTGCCAAACACAGTTTCTTCACCTTCCATGTTATTCCTAGTTTGGATGGCATGTCTCAAAATTCACAAGTCCTTGGGATTATAAAGTTAATAGTAGTGAATGGAGACATTAAATGACGTCTCTGATTTTTTTTTTTTTTTTTTAAATTTAGTACAGGCTCTACAGGGTCTCACTACACAATTTGGACTCGTAGTGATCCTCCTGTTTTCAGCCTGCCAAGCACTGGAATTACAGGTGCACGCCACCATGCCTAGTCTCAATCTGTCTGAGCTTGCCCTGGGGGTGGAGCTGGCACGGCAGGCAGGGGATCAAACTCTGGTCCCTGCACCTGCCTAAGCAGGTGCTTTGGTCCAGTGAGCTATCTGGCAAGTCCTGACACCTCTGATTTCAACTTTTTTTTTTTTAATGTATTTTGTACTAGGGTCTCACTATGCAGCTCGGACTAGTAGTGATCCTCCTGTTTCAGCCTCCCCAGTGCTGAGATTACAGGTGTGGGCCACCATGCCAGGTCTCGGTGACTGGCTTGGTGGTCCCTGGGCAGGGCTGACACATCATATGATACAGGGAATCAAATTCAGGTCCTTGCATCTCTTAGACTGCTGAGCATTCTCCGCGGTCCTTCATCTTTTAAAGGTTCTAAATCATTTGATTCCTTGTTTTAAGAAAAACTGCTAATTTTCTTCTTAAATATATTTTATCTAAATGCTCTTCAGAGAAAAAGCTTTATAGAAATAGCACTGTCTTGAACATATTCCTCTCCACTATTTCTTTGTGACCTGTGTCTACAGAAAGTGAGCAGAGGGCTCACTGGAAGTGGCTCTCTTTCTTGTGCTTTATTTTGACACCTAGGTTTGACGTGGTGGGCTATGGCTGTATGACCTGCATTGGCAACAGTGGGCCCTTACCTGAACCCATAGTAGAAGCCATCATTCAGGTAATTGCAGAGGGCCTGTAGGTATTGAGCTAATGTGTCTTTTTGTTTGATGTGACAAAAATGCTGATTATTTCAAGGTAGTCCAAGGAAAAGAATGTGTTAAGAGTATGGTCTTTAAACTAAAACTACTAGTTGTGTAACCTTGGACATCTTAATTAGCATGTCTGTGCCTCAGTTTGTACAATTACAACTGAGAGCTGATAGTCATATCTGTTCTATACAATTGTAAGAGTTAGAATGATTAATATAAAACACTTAGTATATACTTGCCACACAGTTCTATGCCCACTACATGCCTAGTTTGACTACAGAAGATTCAGAGTCAAACAAGTCTCCACATAAATTAATCTAAACTATATATGCTGGCTTGATTTTGTTGTAAAAATTTGGTACCCCCCTCAATACTGTTGATGCTGTGTACACTGCTATGGCTTCCATTAGCTACCAACTCCTAGTCCTTCCACACGTGTTCTTAAGAAAGCCCCAAGTGAAAGGCAAAAGAACTACATTGAACGATCTGAAAACTATTATAGTTCATCTATGGTGAGAAATCTGGGCAATCATTTTTGCCCGTGACAAGGTGATTCTTGCGTCTTATGCAGGGAGACCTAGTAGCCGTTGGAGTGCTTTCTGGAAATAGGAACTTTGAAGGTCGCGTCCACCCCAACACTCGGGCCAACTATTTAGCATCTCCTCCCTTAGTAATAGCCTATGCCATCGCGGGGACCATCAGGATCGACTTTGAAAAAGAGCCATTAGGTAAGATTTCATTTGTGTCACTTTGATCTTTTCTCTAGTGAATTTAGAAATATTACTGGAAGAAAGCTGCTGCTTTTGCTAATAAAAAAAAAAGAAGTCTAGCACTTCCAGAGTTAAGACAGAGGAGACTTTTAAATGTTTCCCAATACACAGCTAAGATATAACAGAAGTGAAAACAATCTACTGAGATTAGGGAAGTAAATACTGAAAGGAGTAGAGATTTGCTTTTCTGGTTTCTTATGTTCTTCCCTTCTCCACACCCACTGTACTCTCGTGATAGGCATTGTTTTAACATAGACATTGTTAGGACACTTTCCAGATATTTTGGCTTCTTAGACTTTAGGAGAGTGACACTTGATATCCTTTCTTCTGGGCTTCTTGCTTGACACACTATCCTCAATCTATTACAAACAGATTAGACCATCTGGAAACTGTCCCTTAGATTTACTTTTAGGAAATCCTAACTTCAGAGATATAATTGATCTTTATTACAGCGTTGCCTGGTTCGTGAAGTTAATTTTTTCTGTGATTCTGGCTGCAGCTGAATTATAAGCACATAGGTACTATGTGATATGCCTTGTGTTCAAACAGGTGTCACTCGGGCACGTGTTGTGAATGAGGCCCAATATCTCTGGGGAGTTGGTTTCAGGGCCCCCGGAGGATACTACCAAATCCATAGATGTCCAAGTAACTTGTATACAGTGGCAAAGGACTGATGTATAATCTATACAAATCATCTCCAGCTTACTTATAATACCTAGTACCATGTAAATAACTGTATACTTGTTAATTATTTAGGGAATAATAATGAAAAAAAAATGTCTGGACATGTTCAGTGTAGATGCAGCTTTTTTCCTGTTATCTTTTTTTTTTTTTTTTTTTTTTTTTTAATGTATTTGGCTGTTACAAGGTCTCACTGTGTAGCTTGGGCCTCATAGTGATTCTCCTGTTTTCAACCTCCCCAGGGCTGGGATTACAGGCCTGTACCACTAGGCCCAGACTCTGTGGCTGGCTCAGCCTGCCCTGGGGGTGGGGCTGGCACAACATGTGGTGCCAGGCATCAAACCATGGTCCCTCTGCTTGCCTAAGTGTGCCTAAGCAGGCACTTTAGTCTGCTGAGCTATCATCAGCCCCCATTTCCTGAATATTTTTGATCCTCTGTTTCAACCAGCATATGCAGAACCCACAGATATGGAAAGCCAAGTGTATATTACATGTGCTGTCTTTAAACAAAGAACACATAAAACAAGGTTTGTGTTGATCAGTGGATGAAAGTGTGACCAGAAGCTCTTGGAAACCTAACATGTTTTCCCTGGGGCAGTGGCTCAGGGTTCCCCATTCTTGTAGAAAGAATGTGAGCACTGAGAAGAAAGAGACCTGACTATATGCAATAGTGAAAATGGGGAGTTGTATGAATATTTTTCTCAATAAATGTGTCTCCTTCAGGGGTAAATGCAAAGGGACAACAAGTATTTCTAAAAGATATTTGGCCAACTCGAGATGAGATCCAGGCTGTGGAGCAGCAGTATGTCATCCCTGGGATGTTTAAGGAGGTCTATCAGAAGATAGAGGTAAGAGCCCTTGCTGCCCTCCCCACACCCAAGCATGTAAGAGAAAGCCTTTCTGTCCCTTATCCCATTGTACACCTTGGCTAACAGGAGTATGAACAGTAGAAAGTAACATTGCTTTCTTCAGATAACTAGGGAAGTTTTTCTCAACAATTTTTCTTCCATGCCTCACATTTTTGCCAGCCTATACTCCCCAGAAGTTCCCACCCAGATTTAGACAAGTGTATGACAGCCTCAAGAAAGCTCCAGCTTCATCTATCCATAGCTCCACTCCTGTTTCATATACCCTGTAATATGTATAAGCTGTGGTGAAGACCTTGATGGTCACTGTGTTATGTCACTGAAGTGGAATTGCTTGCATGCACCTCTCAATGCATTGTTTAGGTACTTAACAAAAATTAAACCACTCAGTAGAAAGGAGCAGACTACTGAAATAGAAACTTTCTGTGTATTTTATAAATAGGAGAAAATGTGTGGAGCTCAGCATCACTCTGAGATGCTGCTCTTGTCCCTGCTGTCTGAGTCTCTGATGGGGCTGTTGTGTCCCTGAAGGCAGTGTGGCCTCGGGCAGGTGTGAAGGAACTGCGCAGCTATCAGGCACTGCATTCTCCATCATCAGGAATGCTGTTGAGGACTTTGGCTGCCTTGGGATTTAAATGCAGTTCTCTAAAGGCCAAGTTAATGGCTCTGTGAAGAAAATACAAACCAATTAACACATCACAGCAGTCTTTTGCTGGCCAGTCCCCTGGAAGTCTGTATCCCAAAATATTCAGAGTAAATACCCTGTTGGTCCAGTCTGGATTACTATTTCATAAGTTACTTTTAAGTATGTATTTTCAGTAGCAATTGCTGTATAGCATATTAACCCCTCAAAACTTAGCCAAAATATTATGTCGTTTGTTTGGGTCAGGAAGCAAGGTGCAGCATCACTGTGCCCTGACCTGCACAAGGCTCTGACCAGGTGTCAAGGGGCTGTCATTTGTGGAGGAGAACACATGTAGCCTCACTAGTGTGGCTGCTGGGCTGACGTTCTCCTTGGTTCTTCTACATTAGCTGCAGACCTCCCTCAGCACCTTCTACCTATGTTGCCTTAAAGCTCAGTACTGGGCAGCTGGGTTTCTTCAGGGCCAGCAAGTCAGAGGGTCAGAACCTTAGAAGGTCAAGTGTCTATAACTAGTATTGGAATGAAGTCATAAATGCAGTTCCAGGAGACAGGGTTATTCCTACCATTCTGCTGGCCATCCAGACTTTATGTACTTCTAAATTAGTTTATGACATTAAATTAGGATAAAAGTGCTGGATTTGGTATTACATGCCACAAGGGAGGCTGAGGCATGAGGATTACTGAAAGTTTGAAGCCATTCTGGGCTACGTGGCGAGTTCTAGGCCAGCTTACATTACACAGTGAGACCCTGTCTCCCTGCAAAAAACAAGAAAAGAAAGGAAAAAAAAAAAAAAAGACTCTTCTGTGTCTATAAAGAATAAAATGGCTTTTATTGTACAGCTTGTGTTTTCTGTTTACATATCTAAATTTTCCCAGAAATGGAATGTGATTAGATCTTTTTTTTTTTTTTTTTTTTTTTTTTTTTTTTAAGACTGTGAATGAAAGCTGGAATGCCTTACAAGCCCCATCAGATAAGCTGTATCTGTGGAATCCCAAATCTACATACATTAAATCACCACCATTCTTTGAAAATCTGGTATGACTTTTTATTTTTCAACAAAGCAGGTTCTTTGTAAGATGGACTTTATTACCTATGTCCTTGGTTTTACTGCACTTTGGAATAAAACCTGTGCACAGTCAAAATCACTGTGCCCGGGAGCATTGCAGGTAACTGGGTGTTTGGCTGCGGTGACAGCTCCTCAGTCCAGTGTTTCAGTGTGACAGTGCCAAGGCACCCTGGTGAGCAGCTGTCACCTGGACATTGCGCAGCACACATTCTGGTTCCCAGGAGAATAAGCCCAGGACCTGCCTTCTCTCATAGTCACTGTGGTGAGAGGAGGAGGATTCCACTTGTCTTGGGCATCTGAGGAGTTCTGAAAGGGTGTAGAAAGGATGTGGTGTGCAGCCGCACTCCTGAATAATGCTGCTAATACTTCACCTGCTCTTCAGAATTGAGATAGAAATATTTGGAGTATCTTGCCTTTTTAAAGAAGCATCCTTGATAAAAACTAGAAAACTAGAACTTCCTGTGTGTTGATGTAGAGCTATGTTATACTTTCAGTCTGTGGACCAGAAAACTGACTGCTTATGTTCTTTGCTAGACTTTGGACCTCCAGAGCCCCAAATCTATAGTGGATGCCTATGTGTTATTAAATTTGGGAGATTCAGTAACAACTGATCACATCTCTCCAGCTGGAAATATTGCAAGAAACAGCCCTGCTGCTCGCTATTTAACTAACAGAGGGTGAGTGGGAACGCAGTGGGAATAGCTAAGGCCAAAGTGGTGTGAATGAGGCCATTGAAGCCAGTGTGTTCTTTCACATGGTCTCTTTGGAATCAGCCTTTGGTTTTTCATTTAATCCATGAATACCAAAAGCTTTGTCTGTTTGTAGCTCAGACACTTCTAGGGAAAAATCCCATCAGCACATCAGTCTCAGCACAGCATGGGGAAGAGCACATCAGTCTCAGCACAGCATGGGGAAGGGGAGGTTGAGCAAGTGTGTGCTTTAGACTCAACTTCATTCCTGCCTCCAGCTTGTAGAGCCTGCTCATGCTTGAGGCTGGGCAGTGGTGCAGCCTGATACCTATTTATACTCTGTACTGGCCACAAACATCACTTTTACAGGAAACAGCTTTACAAATTTTCCGTGCACTCATCTATTCAGGAGTCCCTCAGGTAGACATGGGCTGGCATCCTGTAGGTAACCTGACAGTATCATCTGTTGTTACCCAGTGCCCTGCTGTGATCCGAGATCAGTGGTTCCAAACCCTGACTCCCTTCAAGAATCATTTAGGGAAATAGCAATCTGACTTCTTCCCTACTTCCTGCATTGCCTCTTCAGAGATGGGCCCCAAGCACATTTGAGAAATTAGAGAAATCTGTGTACTTTTTGCTTTTTATTTTTGTGGGGTTTTTGTTTGTTTGTTTTGGAGTTTGCTTGTTTTTTGGTACTGGGACTCCAACTCAGGACCTTGAACTTGCCAGGCAAGCACTTATGCTGCTGGCTGAGCTATCTCTCTAACCCTTGTTTTTTTTTTTTTCATGTGTTTGTATTTCTGGATACTGAGCATTGAAACAGGGTCTTCACTGTGAGCTACAGCCCTTTTTAAAAATTTTAAAATAGGGTCAGACTATGTTACTAACTTGCCCAGACTGGGCTTGAACTTGCACTTTTCTTGCCTCAACCTCCAAAACCTTGGATTGTAGGCATGTGCCACCACTCCCAGCTCACATAGTGTTTTTCTAATGGTGATTCTTGACCTCTTTCGACACATGAATTGTTTAGGGAATTAAATGAGAACAAATATGTTTTCTATAAAAAAAAGTACACATGTTCATGCTTTGAATGGAATTTCAAAGATTCCTATGTATGCGTTCTCATGAAGCCAAATCATAAATTCATTCCTCAAATCTAATCATTAAATAATATTAACACCCACCCTTAACCCCTAATCTTTTAAGAAATGGGCCAATGAACTACTCTCCATGTTAATTGTATGGTTACATCACAGTTTCCTTTCATTCATTCCTATAGATGAGATTTTTCTCTGATTTAAGACTACAAATAGCTGTTCTGCCTCTGGTGTTACTTTGATTTTTTTTATCATAAGAAAGTTATAATTATTTTGCCAGTGTTTCTTCTCCCTTTGAATTGAGTTCTTGATAATCTGGGGACAAATTCAGTCCTGGTTCTAGTTAGCTTGCCATTCTAAGTAAATAAAATGAACACTTCTTTCAGAATGTCTCCTGATTTGAGAGGCTGGCAGTTGACCCTAAGAGAAGCCCTTCACCACCTGCCTCTCATCTACCCTCAGGTGAAGCTCTGAGCACAGCTTTTCTACCATAGAGAACAGTGCCCAGCAGATTTAGAGAAGTAGCTAGGGTTTTGGCACATTCTTCTTGATGTAAGTGTAGTTTTCACTTGCCTCGCTAACCTAGCTCCTTTCCTGTTTGCCTTATTAGCCTAACGCCACGAGAATTCAACTCCTATGGCTCCCGCAGGGGTAATGATGCCATCATGGCACGGGGAACATTTGCCAACATTCGCTTGTTAAACAAATTTTTGAACAAACAGGCACCACAGACTGTACATCTCCCTTCAGGAGAAATTGTGAGTATTCTCTCTTTGCTTCCTTTAGAAATCAGTTTTTGTCAGGTTCTGGGAGATTGGATGTTTACACAGTGACTGTCCTTTGGCTTTTTCACCACTACTTCCTAGATAGTTCCTCTTACCCAGTGCCCATATGTGTTGAGTTTATCAATAATGCTGATTAAAATCTTGCTTAGAGATTCTGCACATGGTTTAACTAAGTCTTGTTTATTAGAAATTGAGCTTAATTTAAAATATAATCTAATTTAAATGTTTTTTTATCATATTATGTAGGGACTTAAAGTTCAACATATCAATACTTGATGAAAAATACCTGTTCCTTATTATGCCTAAGATGTTTGAAATGCAGTGAGATAGTGAGGTTAAACTTGATAGCCTAAATCGTTTGATAATAACAATAAGCTTCTCTTCTGGATGGTTAACAACCTAAGTTTGCAGACCAAAATTAGAGAAAAGGAGGGCTACAAGGAAAGCCAACATTTTGGCCCTAGCCTTCTAAGGTCAATTAAGACTCAGGACATATGAGAACTTGTACTGTAATGTCATGTACCTTGGTAGTGTCCCAAATTTTCTGATCAAGAAGATTATGGGGCCAAAGAGGAAAGTGATCGATCATGTAGAGTGTGCCTAAGGAGAGTCACATGGGGAGAAGACCCTCTCTCAGGCTTTCACAGAGAGCACATTGGCCAAGCAATGGCCGTGACTCATCCACATGGCTGCACTGACAAAGGTTCTACAATCTGAGGTACAGGATCTCAGGATAAATCCTGAGGGCATTTCACTGACCTTCTCAGACCAAAAAGCTACAACTCTTGTTGCATAGGTCTTGCTTTACCTTGGTCTTAACCATCCAGTAGAAAAGTATGAAGACGAAATATAGGAAATAAAGCCATGTTGTTATGGTGAGCTGTGGGGGACTCAGGTCAATAATTTCTGACATTGCCAGTTAAACAGAAGACCCAATGCTATTATGGGCTACTGGACTCTTTTAGAATATTTTGCTGCGTTTACACACCTATAATATTCATTAATGGAACTTAGAAAAAATGGGGTATACCGATGAATGTCCATTTTGTATCTGTGTATTCAAAGTGGTTAGGATAGATATATAGTTGCATTCTCTTAATGAATAGAATGATTTGTTCTAATGGTGTTTGTAAATAGGATCACAAGTGTGCATCTTGTACAGCAATTAACCACTAAGAAGGATATATGCAGTGTATTATTTGTTGAAACTGTACTTCCAATTTGATTTGAAACTGTCTCATTGCTGTTTATCAATAAAACTTTGAAAAAAAAAAAAGAAGACAGAATAAGCAAATAAAATGAACAAATTACTATCCAAAAAAGAAAAAAGAAATTGAGCTTAAAAATCTTTTGAGGGGCCAGGGAGATGGCTCAGTGGAATAAGTGCTTCTTTGGGAAGCGCAAGGGCCTGAGTTTAATCCCTGGTTCTGCCAAAAAAAAAAAAAAAAAAAAAAAAAAATCTTTTGAAATTTTCTAAAACTATTTAAAGGGGAAGTTCTAGATTAAATTAGAGGATATTTATGAAGACATGCTATGCTCTGGTCTGAGAGGCTCAGCCTCGGTGGCCACACTATGCAATTGTACAGCTTCCTGGGCAGCCCACCCTACCACTCTGCCCCAAGGGGTCAGTTCTCTTCTTGTTCTCTATTAGATTTTAGAGCTCTCAACCTGATCACTTCTCTTTTTTTTTTTTTTTTGTATCAGGAATCAAATCAGGACCTCATGCTTGCCTGGCAGGTGCTGTGCCACTGAGCTATATCCCCTGCCCCTGTCCAATTACTGTCCAGGTCTTAATTCTGTCTGCCCATAATGCCCTGCCTAAAACCCTTCTTGTGTAATTTTTCTGGCTTTGTCATGTAATAGAAACTTCAAGACAACCAGGTTCTGTTTATTTATTTATACTTTAGGGAAGCGTCTACAGGGTATTCAGGGTCTCACAACTAGATCAGACTTGTAGTGATGCACCTGTTTACAGCCTCCCAAGAGCTGGGATTACAGATGTGTGCCACTACGCCCAGACTCTAGACAATGAGATTTTTTACTTGCTCAGTCACTTTGATCCTGAGCAACACAACCTGCAGTGACCTGAATTCTCAGCTGTGTAGTAGTTTTGAAAACACTTTCTGAAAGACATACTTCCACTTTAATATGTAAAGTTAGTAATCTTTGAAAATAGCAGGTGTTTTTTTTTTTTTCCTGGTCTTGGAAGTTTCCTGACCATTTGGTTGCGCAGTAGAACATGTCTACTACTTTTTTAGTAGTTTCTGTATTCATGAGTTTTGTCCAGCTAAAGCATGCAGAACCCTCCCAGATTTACAAAATGTCACATGAAATTAAGCACAATTCTACCAGTCCTTCTGATTAATTTATGGAAAGCCTACCTCAGAGTTTAATAAAATGTTTATCTAATATCTTTCTGACCTACATAGACAGGGAAAATAATTGTCTTTATTGTCTTGATGAAGTCTCCTTTCTTTCTTTTTTTTTTTTTTTTTTTTTTTTTTTTTGGTGGAACCGGGGATGGAACCCAGGCCCTTTCACTTGCCAGGGAAGTGCTTATTCCACTGAGCCATCTCCCTGGCCCCTTGATGAAGTCTCAACTCAGGAGGATATTCTAATTCTTGTGAGAAACATTCTTTGTAAGGTGTTTCTCATATAGTAAAACATTAGCTATTTTTTCCTTACCCTATTGGTGCCTTCATCCATGTTTCTACTGTCTTTATCTTTACCTGTGTGTAGAACAGAAATAAAAATGTTCTTTCTTTTCTTTTTTTCTTTTGGTACTTGGTCTCACTACACAGCTTGAACTCATAGTGCTCCTCCTGTTTTCAGCCTCCCCAGTGCTGGGATTACAGGCACCACCACTCCCAGTCGCTCAGCATACCCAAGAGCAGGGCTGGCACAGCATGTCGTACAAGGGAAAATTTTCATTTTATATACTTTCAGAACATGTTACTTTGAGTTTTACTACTCTTTAAAGCTGGCCATTGCTGAGACTGATACTGAGTCACAGCTCAGGCTTAGGTAGGATTTTTTGATTTTGAAGTCTTAAAACAGATTAGTTAATTGAAGAAATATGTCTGATTTAGTTTCCTTTTTTGTTGTTGTTGTTTTCTTAATGCACTAGGATCTGAATGTTTTTATAAAAGTGGACAATTAGCCATTTCAGTCAAAAGAATATAAAACATGGTTTGATACAAATAGAATTAAACAGGGCTTGTAGACCTACTTGGCTCTTTGGTTGAGTTTTCTGTTGGCTTCATGTTGACTTGGCCAAATGCCTACACTCAGACCCTCTGTTCTCACCAGGGCATGCTGGGTCTGTATCTACATACTTAGCTTTTAATGTATCTGTACAACCTTTTTTTTCTTCCTCAGCTTGATGTGTTCGATGCTGCTGAGAGATACCAGCAAGCGGACCTTCCTCTGATCATCCTGGCTGGCAAAGAGTATGGTGCAGGCAGCTCCCGTGACTGGGCAGCCAAAGGCCCTTTCCTGCTGGTAAGTGCAATGAAGAGACTTCCCAACAAGCAGCTGGAAAGGAAGCCAGGAGGGTGCCCAGGAATAAATTCTTTTGGTTTACCTTTCAAGATGAAAGAGCAAGTTCTGAAATGTATTTAGTATTTATCTCCTGCTTCTTGGTAGATCTATACTGACTTCACTTAGTGAAGTACAATAACATGACACTGAACCAGTCCATTATTTTTAATTTTAACTTTTTTTCTGGCCAGCTCAGCCTGCCCTGGGGGGAAGGGCTAGTGTGACACATGGTACCCAGGATCGAACTGCAGTCCCTGCATTTGCCTAAGCTTGCCTAAGCAGGTGCTTAGTCTTCTGAGCTATCTCACCAGCCCCAAGCCAGTCCTTTAGATGAGACATTCATACCATGGCAGCCATTGGACTTCAGGTGCCTATAGATCAATTAAAGGAGAAAGGTTTGTGAAATCTGACATGATATTCTACCTAGCCAGACAGCTTTCTAGAGCCTTCAGTGGTTTCAGAGATTTGCCTTCGGAGGTGTCCCATAGGAGGGGTGGTGCCAGCAGCAGAGAGCTTTTACCTCTGGAGCATTGGCTTGCCCTGAGAGCACAGGAAGAGCTGTCCTGCCAGCTTCAGTCCCCAGGGGTGGGTAAAGTGATTTCGCTGATGTTAATTTAAATAATTTACAGCTCAAACAAATCAGGGCCCTTGGGAAACACTAAGTCAATCTCCACAAGTATGGTAAAAAATGTGGCCTCTGGCAGGCAATCCTCAAATGTCATTGGACACCACCCCAACTTTTTTTAATTACTGTGTTCTGAGTTACTTTCTCATCATTGCTGGGACAAAAAACTGACACAAGTTCAAGGAGAAAAGATTTACTTTGGCTCACAGTTTGTAGGTTTCAGTACATGGCTGGCTGGCTCCAAGGCAAAGTGGCTGGCAGAGGGCATGGCAGAGGAGCTTTGCTCATGGCATGGCAGTAGGAAGGAGATCGAAGAGATTAAGGACATGTGCTGTTCCAGGCTGTACTCACAGTGACCCAGCTCTTTCCACCAGGCTTCACCTTCCAACGTCATAGTGCTAGACCTGTTGGTGTACTAACCTAGCATCACACACTCATGATCCAGCCACCTTCTAAAAGCCCCAACTGAGTGCACAGGGCTCTATGTAGAAGCCAAAACTTAACACACATTTTACTCTAAAGGGAGAAAAGAAATGTGCTCTGACTAGTTGGTAATAGGTCAGAGGCATCCCTTTTCTAGAAACTGCTATAAAAAGCCAAAGAAATTATACAAGAGGGGTTTTAGGCAGGAGATTAGGGCTGGATAGTAGAATTAAGACTTGGACAGTAATCAGTCAGGTTGGGGGCTCTAAAATCTAATAGAGGACAAGAAGAGAACTGACCCCTCAGGGACACCATAGAGTCTGGCCTTCCCTGCAGAATGGCTAGGGCTGAGCTACTCAGCAGTGCTATGGGATGCACTGCACACAACATGTATGAGCTCATCACCTGCAGTACAGAGCTAGGGACATGAACCTGTGTTCAGAAAGCTTTCTACTTCCTCCTAAATGAATGCGTGCACACGCACACACGCATACACACACACACACACATACACACACACGTGTAAATCTCTACAAAATACCTGCTGGGCCCCCAGAAATCTGCCTTTTCTTTATGGTAGTGGTCCTCACATTTGGAAATACCTGTGACTTTTAAAGTAACTACTCTTAGGTTTAATGCCCAAGGACTCCACTTAACTGGCCAAGGAGAGATGCCTGGAGCCTGGAGCTTTAATAAGCTTCCCTTGGCCATTCTAATGTGCTATGAGGTTTGAGAACCTTGCTCAACAGCTATGGTTCCCTGGCTCCTCCTGCCCTCTGTTCCCTGCAAACGAGGGATTGCAGCAGATCTGGAGTAGCAGCCAAGAGTCACATTTTTGGGCTGTTTTTTTTTTTTTTTTTTGGTCTCTTTGAGAACAGGTCTCACTATGCAGTTCAGGTAGGCCACTTTGTAGCCCAGGCCTCACACCTCCTTCAGCCTCCCAAGTACTGGGATTTCAGGTTTGTGTCACCATGCCCCACTCAGTCACGTTTTTAATAAGCTTCCCTGAGTGAGTCTGAGGCAAATGTCTCGAGAATATGTCCTAGTTATTAGGAGACCTTTTAGTGTCTTTAATATTTATTATAATTAATATTAACTATTAATTACAAGTTAATTGGGAATTCTAATTAGGTATCCTGATTTCTTGATTATTGTTCTATATTGTCAGTTATATGCTGGGTATAAAATAGGAAGCTTAATATCAGGACTGTTCAGCACATTGTCATCCTTGAAACAGAGTTTTAACAGCAGTCTGCAGTAGTCCCTTACTTTGCAGTAGTATGTTCTGAAAATTGCTTTTCATTCATTAGTACTGGAGTCGAACCCAGTGAGTGCTGAGCGACATCTCTAATACTTTTTTATTTCCTTTCGAGGCAAGATCTGCTAAATTTCCCAGGCTGGCCTCAAAGTTGTAGATCTTCCTGCTTTTGGTTTCCATGTAGCTGCTATTATAAGCATACACATCACATCAAACCTGAAAATTGCTTTTTTATTAAAGCTCCTGTGTCTCCTGGTACATCTGCAATAATATAAAAATTCAAGGGAATTTTCTGTGTATCTGGTATGGATTTCAATGCATGGAAGTTTGCTAAATGATCCTGTATCTCAGAGTGGCTAAGAACATTGTCAGACTACATAGATGAAATAGCAAATCAAACCACTGATTACTGGGTAAAGAGGGACAGTGATAGCATCTGCTGTGTCCCAATGTGGCAGAGGAATAGGAGAGAATTCACGTAAGTACTTGCATCATGCTGGTACATTGTACGTGCTCAGGCTCACTACTTTCTTATTTCTAACTGGAGGATAACATCTTTAGGTGAAAAGTTAACAGGTACTTAGAGTGAATTTAACTGTGAGAAGTTGTGACTCAAGAATCCTTTTGTAAAGTTTTCATGTACCTGAAGAAAAAACTGTGTCTAAACTGTTCTCTTTATTTATCAGGGAGTCAAAGCTGTTCTGGCCGAGAGTTACGAGCGCATTCACCGCAGTAACCTGGTTGGAATGGGAGTAATACCCCTTGAGTATCTGCCTGGTGAAAATGCAGACTCTCTAGGACTCACAGGGAAGGAACGATACACTATCATCATTCCAGAAAATGTCAGACCACGAATGGAAGTCCAGGTCAAGGTAAGCCTGCCTTGTCTGATGCTAGACCTCTTCTAGAGGGCCTTTTGCTTGTAATCAGTCTTGCTAAAAGGAAACCAGTGGGAGTTGGCAGAAAAAATATTAAAAATCAGTAGGACTACTTTAGACTTGGAGTCCTACTAGCATGCTTCCATTTGTCTTCACAATATAGTGAGGATATCTTTTAACTTGTTTATTTGTAGAGCGGTCATCAATGCCAGTCTTACCTCCCATCCCCAGCCAGCTTCTGTCTCTTCCACTCAGCCCAGAGAATAGTAATAAAAACTCAGAAAAATGACATTTTCATATTACCTAAAAACTGTTTTTCTTATCATGAAAATGTGATCAACATACACATTAGCTCCCTCCCTAAGTTTCTTACCAATTGCAAATCCTTAGGTGAGGATGACTGTCCCACACTCAGGTCCAGGGTGATTTAGCATGCAGGTGCAGGCAGCTGCTGCAGTCTGTTTTGGGTGTGCGCTAGGTTAACAGCCTGACGTACAGCCTCAGGGACACGCATCCCAAAATACTCTGTCCATAGGGCAAGGGTTTAGAAGATAATATCACCTTGTAACTATTGGCTGCTGCCCTCAGAAGCTATTTCTAGCTCTCAGACGCCTTTAATCTACATGATTTATACTCTGCAGTACATCTCCAACCAATCTCCCAGCGGTCTTATCAAAAGTAGATTGCGATCCTGTGGGTTGGAACTGGGACCAGAGGCCACCCCTCCCCATGGGCTGCTCAGGCTCTAGTGTGTGCGCCAGGCAATCACTGTGAGACACAGATGTCTTGCTTCCTCCCTCAGCAGTTCTTTGTTTCTTTGGCATTGCAGCTGGATACTGGGAAGACCTTCCAGGCTGTTATGAGGTTTGACACTGATGTGGAGCTCACTTATTTCCACAATGGGGGCATCCTCAACTACATGATTCGCAAGATGGCCAAGTAGGCCTGTGTTTCCTAGAGCTGCACTTGGCGCACTCAGTGAGGCACCGGCCATGCAGCCAGCCGAGGCTGGTGAAGAAGCCCCTGCTTCCTCCATGCAGGTGCTGCCTGGAACTCAACAGCTGAGTACTGCGGGTTGGGTGCCATTCCTGGAGGCTCAAAGCCAGAAGTTTCAGTGTTCTCTATTTTTGTTAAATTGTTTTATCTTTTTCTAGAATTTGAAAGCTAGAATTGTGGGAAGATCAGTAGTGCCAGAAAGCTGGCTTATTTTTGAAGTTACTGATCATAGGACATTGATTTTTCACTTTTACCAACTACTCAACTGAACACTAGCAAGTATTTTCAGAAGCATCTCCTACCCTTTTTACTGTTTTCCATTATCTTCTGCTCAGTGAAACCCTTCCTTTGAGGGCCCATTCCTTTGTAATATATCACTGTTAACTGACATAGGTAGGTAAGAACTTTTTCACACAAATTGTAATACTGGTTGTGATTTCCCCGAATAATCCAAACACCTGGCAAACAGGTCAAACACTGAATTTTTTGATTATGTACCTTGTAGTAAATCAACATTAAAGAAAAATTTTCTTTCACTGTCTTCAAAATTTCTTTCAAGAAAATACTTCATCAATGGGAAACTTCTTAGAAGTGGTTTGGTAGAAAAACATTTTTAATTTGAATGAGATTAAATGTATTTTATGAAAACTTTGCTGCATTCGGAATTGAGTTTTGCTGGGTGTGTGGCAACAGTTTTGTGATACAGCTTAAGATCCTGAAGTGTATATGACCTTCATCTTCTGTTTCCCACACCACATCTGAACTGTATAGGTGCAGTAGAAAAACAGTGTACTACCTGCCCTATTTGGGAATAACAGATAAGAAAGAAGAATAACCTGATAGCATAGCAAGGAAGTATATACATGGCACACAGATCCTATTGTGAAGTGTATTTGCTCGTTTTTGTCATTAAAGTCCTTTAGGGCATACCTTACTCTGCTCTGGCTACCAAAACAAAATACCACAGGCTGAATAGCTCAATCAGCAAAAATGTACAGTCTTCTAGTTCTGGAGCCTGAAAGTCCGAGTCAACTTTCTAGCTCTTTCAGTTTCTGGGGAGGACTCTCTTCTGGCTTGTAGATAGCCTTTCCTTTTTATATGTAACACAAGAGGGAAAGGGAAAAAGAACTTTTTTGTGTCTTTTCTTAGAGATTGTTAGGACAGAGGTCTCATCCTTATGACCTCATTTAACCTTAACTTTTTTTTCCTCTATACTATTTGAGGGGTTAAGGCTTCAACATAGAACTTTTTAGGGGACACAAACATTCAGTCCTTAACATGGCATCTTATAAGATTAATCTCCTTGCAGTGATTATTTTAACCTACTCACATTTCAATATGATTTCAGCAACACTGAGAGGGTATTATTAGTTCCATTGTACACACTAGAAAGGTTTAAAAAACAAGTCATAAGTCTCATAAATGGGAAGTTTAGGAACTTAAAAGCTGTTTTTTCTTAATCCCAAGATAGAGACTTTTCTAAATTTCTAAAATTGACATCTGGAATGGGTTTGTAGGTCATGTATAAATTCCTTTAAATTTCTCCATGTCTTTCTCTGCAGTCTCATCCAGTGATTGGCCTAAGTACCATCAGTGCTACTCTCCTCTTGGCCTCATGCTGTGAGCTCATTTCTTATGCCCTGAGCTGGGCACATTGGCCCAGCACCATATGCATGGTGTGTCAACCCGGGCCCAGCGCAGCCATTGCTTGTATTATGGATCTCAATGGAATTTGGGACTGGGGGTTTTTTCTTTTTTTTTTTTTTTTTGGCGGAACCAGGGATTGAACTCAGGCCTGTGTGCTTGCCAGGGAAGCACTTATTCCACTGAGCCATCTCCCCGGCCCTTTTTTTTTGTTTCTTAATTTGTTTTGACAAAAAAAAATTGTATGTATTTGTTGTGTATACCATAATGTTTTGAAATAGTTGTAGAATGGTTGAAATGAGCTAAATAACATTTTTTGTGGTAATATTATGTTCAGTGATTTTTAAGAATATTATTAACTAATAACACTGTACAATAGATCTCTTGAATTTATTCCTCCTAAATGTTTTTTTTTTTTTTTTGCGGAACCGGGGATTGAACTCAGGCCCTTGTGCTTGCCAGGGAAGCACTTATTCTACTGAGCCATCTCCCCGGCCCCCTAAATGAAATTTTATATCCTTGAACATCTCACTAATACTCCCTCAGCCCTTGGTAATCACTGTTCTTGCTGCTTCTGTGAGTTTGACTTTTTAGCTTCCACATTAATAAGATCATGCAGTATTTGTCTAGTGTACCTGGCTTATTCTGAAATCCTCAAGTTCATCTGTACTATCACAGAAGACAGTGGTTGGATCATATTCCATTCTGTCTAAGCACCACATTTGCTTTGCTTTTTCATCCATTGATGGTACTTAGGCTGATTCCGTATCTTGGGTATTGTAAACAGTGCTACAGTGGATGCAGAAATGCAGATAGCTCTTCAGTGTACTGGTTTCATATCTTTTAAATGTACTTCATGTACCCAAGTGTGGGATTTTTGGATCATGCAGTGTTTAGTTTTCTGAGGACTCCACCCTACTTTCCATAATAGCTGTAACATTCTCACCCACACTGTGCAAGCATTCCCTTTTTCTCCACACCTTTATCAACACTTATCTTTCTTTTTTTTTTTTTTTTTGGTGGAACCAGGGATTAACCTTGTGCCCTTGCACTTGCCAGGAAAGCGTTTATTCTACTGAGCCATCTCCCCGCCCCTATCTTTCACTTTTTTAATACTGGCTATTCCTATAGGTCTAAAGTGATAGATACTATGGCTTTAATTTGCAGTTCTGTAATGAGTGAGGTTAAGCAATTTTCATATACACGTTGACTTTTACGGTTTCTTTTGAGAAATGTCTGTTCAGGTCTTTTGTCCATTCTTAATTGAATTATTTGATATTTCGTTGTCATTTTGTATGAGTTCTTTTTATATTCTGAATATTAATCCCTTATCAAAAATGTATAATATGCAAGTATTTCCCCTCATTCTATAAGTTCTCTCTTTAATCTGCTTCTGTAGAAACTTTCTGAGTTTGTTGTTTGTTTCTGTATTGTTTTCAGGGTCATATACAAAAGAAAAATCATAACTTTGATATAATGGAGTGATATCTCCTGTTTTCATCTGGTACATTTATAGTGTTGGATCTTATGTTTAAGTCTTTTTACATTTTGAGATTATTCTGTGTGGTGTGAGATAGTCATATTTAATTATTTTGCATGTAGGTTATTGAAGAAAGTGTCCTTTCTCCACTGGTTCTCTTTTCAAAAATCAGTTTGTTCACACATGCATAGGTTCTTTTCTGGAATTTCTGTTCTTTTCCCTTGGTGTATGTATTTTTTTTAAATTACTTTTATTTTTTATGTATTGGCACAGGGTCTTACTGCACAGTTCAGACTTGTGATCCTGTTTTCAGCCTCCCCGGCACTGGGATTACAAGCATGTGCCACCACCACCACACCCAGTCTCAGTGGCCGACTCAGCGCACCCAGGTGGGGCCAGTGTGGTACGTGGTGTCAGGAATCAAACCCCAGTCCCTGCACTTGCCTAAGCAGGCATTTAGTCCACTGAGCTATCTTGCTGGCTCCTATGTTTGTATTTTATGCTGCTACCATTCTGTTTTTATTGCTATAGCTTTGTAGTATATTTTGAAGTCAGGCAACCTTGTTTACAGATTTTTTTCTTTTTGTTTAAGGTGGCTTTGGAATTTGAAGTCTGTTGTGCACAAATTTTAAGGTTTTGTTTCTTTGAAAAAGTACTGAAAATCTGATAAAGGTTCTATTGAATCTGTAAATGGCTTGGGAAAGTGTGGACATTTTAATGTTCATTCTTTTATATGTACATGAATTGTTTTGTTTTCTGTGTAACATTAAATTTCATCAATGGCTTATAGTTTCAGAGTATAGGTCTTTGACTTCCATGGTTAAACTGATTCCTAGACATTATTGTATCTATTATAAATGAGATCATTTTCTTGATTTCTTTTTCATCTAGTCTTATTTTTAAGTGCTACTGATTTTGTTTCAGAACCTATCGATCTCTTCATTTAGGACATTTTAACTAGGTGCCTTTCTGTTTCAGGTCTGTGCCTGACAGTTGCTTCCCTCCATATAAAAGTTCAACAAGGTAGTTCTAAATTTTTCTTCCTTTAGTTTTAGTCTGCCTACTTTTTTGAGCTGAAAGGATTATTTACCTTTATCTAAATTAAATCATTTAAATCTTTGAGGTTTTTCATCTTCTGAAATAGGTTTCTAGCAAATGTTTCATACTTGTATTGATGTTCTTAAGCAGGGGCATCAAAGAAAAGCAATCATGTATCAAGAGGTATGAAAAAATCAGCTCTAACTGAACTGATTTAAGTAATCCATTTTATTTCATGTTAAGCATACTGTTAATAACCATTATGAAGCAACTACTGTGTAGCACACATTTTTCATACATTCTTTGACAATTTAAAAGTCCTCATGTTTTACAGATGAAGAAAACAAACAAATAGATAACTGGTCATTTTTTTCTGGCTATTTGCTAGCACTACTTTACATCAGATCCAGCAGATGATGATTAGAACAAATCATCCCGTTGATCCAGGGTTGACTGGCTGGGTAGAGAGGTCTCTGAATCACCTTTAGATGTAAACAGGTGTTCCTTGATAAAGGTTGTATGTGGTGAACATCAGACTGACATTTTATCATCCCTGGAGCTTTTTTTTCCTTAGGCCACCGATGGTCCTAAAGCATTTCAAACAACTAATCTGAACCTGTGCAAGGAAGATGCTTAAATTGCTATAAAGCCTACACATTAGAGACTCTTCCCCAAAACTGAACACAAAGTACCTTGATCTGATGAAAATAACAAAACTCAAGACACATATCTCCATGACAGGAAAACCCCAAACTAAACTCTCTGAAATATTAGCAAATGTTTTATGTAGAAAAGACAGCCAAATTAAACTACCTCATCAGTACCATCCAAGGAACTACACTGAGAGCCAATAATCCAAGTGCTGAATATCAACCATTACTGGAAAATAGCTTGGAATGATTTTGAAAATGGTAGGTTAAGAGAACAAACCAAGAGAAAAATGGATAGTAAAGCAAAAGAACAAAACCTCAGGAAGCCCTCACTCATAAAAGCTGTCTACTATAGTTTTATTATTACCATGCTACACACAGCTATGAAGAAAGCATGAATATACATAACTTTTAGAGAGAGACAGAGCAAGCACTCACGTCCTTGGAATTATCTATACTTAGTTTATCAGCAAAGAGGAACCAATAAAAGAGAAAACAGAAGAAGCCAAGGAAGAGTTTCAACTAAGGAATACAATAGGGCCCAAAGTAGCAAAGAGACCAAATAAAAGAACCAAGAAATGTCCAAAACATTTGGCAACCAGTCACTGGTAGCTTTGAAAAGAACAATTTCAGTAGATTATTAACTATAAAACCTACTGTATAATAGCTTTAGGATGGAGAGAGGTTAAAAAAAAAAACCAACCTTTCAATTCATTCATGCTAACATGTACTATGTGTTCACTGACAACTGCACAGAAGGGTAGAGACAATTTTAAATTTTCTCCAAGTACTGTAAGTTCTTTTGCCCTACAAAGTATTCAGTAACACAATTCACTCATGTGCTCTGTATATGATACAATACATATTTTTAAGACAAACAATGAAGTTAACATAAATATTCAATACAGTATAAGCCTTATGTAAAATATTTTCACAAAGTTACAAGTAATCAATGGTTGTGCCCACTGGATTATTTCTTCTTCTCTCACAGTTACCAGTCCCTGTAGCTAAACACTAGGAGCATGAGGTCATTTAGACATTTCTTTAGCATCAAACTGTATCTTCTCAAGGGGAAAGTCCTTCCACTTTGGATAGTGTTGCTGAAGTCCAGTGGTAATATCCTCCACCACAAAACTTTCAATCTTTATGACTGGAATCTCAAATGTTTTATACCTCACATGTATTCCCCAGTCATGGCCACAGTCCTGTCTGGCACAGAATATCTTTTCTTTCTTTTCAAACCCACCATAGCTCCGTGGTTTGGGGTGTGGTTTACTCACAAAGCGCTTCTTAAAATCATCTCCAATCACAGTGTAATGAGATTCCTAGGATGAAGGATGAGACAACATAAAAAAGATGTCAGAACAGTGCATAACTATAACTTTAAAACATCTCACAATAATCTGAATTGAAGAGCAGGTGGAATCTATTTTGCAGTTGGAAAAGTAAGGAAATAATGGAGTCACCTGTAGGCCAGATTAAGATACATTTATAGTACTCAATTTATGAATATCTGAGTTGCAAGCTTTCACAGATACAAATGTACCTCACATCACAAATATTCATAGATGCAAACATGGCAGAAGTGGCCCACATGTTTCAGAAATAGTTCACATGTTGACCAGACACTGTCATAGCTGTGCTATGTGCTTATTGCGTATAGGTTTGGATTTTTTATGCTTTACACATTGTATATTTGTGTCAAAGGTGAATAAGACTCACTCTGTTGGACTTATGAAAGAATCAAAACTTACAAACCTCACCTCTTACACATAGGGAGAAGAAGCACTTGTATACATTAGGCTCAGTTTCCCAAAATACCAGTGTTTTACATACCTTAGTATATTTGTTAAAACTAATAAAGTAACAACTGCACATTACTAGTAATGACTGGTTTTTCTACTAAAATCTGTTCTAGGATGTAATCAAGGATACCACACTGCATGCAGCATAACCATTATTTTTAATAATAATTTAATTGGCAGCAACTTTTTTTTTTTTTTTTTGCAATAGGATCTCTTTATGTAGTGCAAGCTGACCTTCAACTCACTAAGTAGCCCAGACTGGCCTCAAACTCCTATCAATCCTGCCTCAGCCTCCTAAGTGCTAAGATTACAGGTATAAGCCACCACACCCAGCTCAATTTGGCAGCATTTTTATTTTATTTTTTTGCCGAACTGGAGTTGAACTCGGGCCCTTGCGCTTGCCAGGGAAACACTTATTCCACTGAGCCATCTCCCCAGCCCTGCAGCATTTTTATACTATTTTTCACTTACATCTTTAATTGACAAACAATTGTATTCATGTATAGGATGCAGTGTGATGATAATCTGATACATGTGTACAAGGGTCCTGCTCAGTGTAATTAACATTTCCATTTCCTTAAACCTTTGTCATCGCTTCTCGGCCTTTTGGCTAAGATCAAGTGTAGTAACCTTTGTCATTTCTTTTTTTTTAAATTTTTTATTTATTTGTGTGTGTGTGTGTGTGTGTGTGTGTGTGTGTGTGGCCAGCTCAGGCCACCAGAGGGCGCGGCTGGCTGGCTGGCATGTGGTGCTGGGGGATTGAACCGTGGTCCCTTTGCTTTGCTAAGCTTGTTCAAATAGGTGCTTTAGACCACTGAGCCATCTCACCAGCCCCTGTCATTTCTTAATGTTATAAATATTCAAACTCCTCACAGTACAGTTAGACACAAAGGCGCTGAGGAAGTCACTCCCTTTCACCCATTTAATTTTAGTGCAGCCTAAGGCCAGTCTCCATTCCATTGTCCTGAGAGAGAAAGAGAGCATCACATAACAGAGACCCAGGTTGACTCACATCTTCCAGGTCAGAGCACAGTTGATCCCCTGCCAGACCTTGGTCACCTTCAGCCTACTCTCCAGCTTTACTAAAAGTTTAGGAATATGTATTACCTCTCAAGCATTTCATTAAGATCAGAGTGAATTGTGGGACAAGAATGTGTGCTGAGAATCACTGGGGGATGACAGCACCATCAATCATTCATACCTGGAGATTCAGGGGTGGCACCTAGGCAAATCTTTTTTAATTCAAAAAGCCTGATTCCTTTGGGGACTGCTGCTGTGTGCTAGGCTCTGTGTGCAGTGCTTTTGCTCTCCAGTCATGGCAGCACCGCTTCTCCTTATGCCACAGCTTTTGTGGACCCACCCTAAGCACAATTGCCTGTGATCCTCAATAAATATATCTGCTTCCATTTGCCATCACGTGTGTACTTGCCATGGGTTGCTCATCATACTCAAGAGCCTAGGTTATATCTGCTGAATTCCTCACAGGATAACATTCTCATCTACTGTTGTATAAAATTTGTAAACCTTATTGTAAACAGTGGTTATCCACTATGTTAAAGAACCTTACAGGTTACTCCAACAGTTTTTGGTACCTGGTACCTCATTGGTGCCTGTTACCTGGCTACTCTTTACCCGCCTCCTCACTACCTTTTCTAGGCTCTATTCACTACTTCCGTAAGGTCAACTTTTTAGCTTCCATGCATAAGCAAGAAGGTGTGGTATTTTTTATGTACATGGATGAGAGCCTCGATAAACAATAGTATTCTTAGATTTCACCAATAAATGGTAGTCTTTAACAATGTTAATAGAATGCTAGGTACTCTCTGTAAAAAGATGACTTACCTCTATCACTCGTATGTCAGCTGTGTTACATGCCAAAACTTTGCACTTTCCACAGAGCAGTCTTTTAATTTGCTTATCAGGGACAAGTTCTGGCTTTAGTTGACTATCTCTGATAAGTTTTTCTTGATTCTGTATGTGATGAATCTATACATGCCAAAAGAAAAGCCTCATAAAAGTAATCCAAGAAAAATCAACACATACAGATACATGCACACATACATATATACATATATAATCATTCATATGATTTCCATGACCATACAATATCTATTTGTATTGTTTCATTTGAAAAAATCTCACAGATAATTTTACTGGTCCTCCTCCCTATTTTTCAATTATCTCCAGTTAGTCTTTTAATGCCTCCCTCAAAGATGACCATAAAAAGACTGAAGATAAAACAGTCATATAAACCATTTTTTCTACTATTTACAGGTGGCCAAACTTTAGAAATCCTTTACAAACAGATAGAGTATGGACTATTTCAGGTATAATTATACCCCACTACATTTATAAATCAGGTGAGTGGAATGAAAGGAAAAGCAGTGCCTACATCTAAAATATTTTCTTTCTCCCTTTCAACTACAAGAAAAACTGCCGAATTCTTTAAATGTGTATGCAGTGTGACAGTTCTAAGTCAAGCTTTAGATTCTGGCTATATATAAAACGAAAGATTCTGAAGGGTGAAGAGAGAAAGGCAGACCAAGCCAGGAGCCGTGCAGCCCTGGGCATAATGGTGGTCACCTCCCTGGGTTTTCTCTTCACTTGGTGTATTTTAGACTTGGATATAAAGAACCTAATGACCTGAAATGCCTATGGTAAAGACAAAAATGTTTCAAAAAAATCCAGCTGTTTCTTGCCAAAGGACAAAAAGTGCAGTCTACAGACAAAATTCTTAGAATAACTGCTCTACTCCACAAGGAAAAAGAAAAGAAACTTGCCCAACCTTCACCCGGGCTAGCACACACCAAGTAGGAACCTGATTTTCCACCTTTGCCAGGTTGCAATAAGGAATGCCAGTATCTGCGCACACAGGAACCAGGACTTGCAGCCAGGTTGACTAGTAGTGTAGCTTCCTCACCCATGGTGCTAAGTAAGACCACATGGGGGGGACAGAACTCCCACCTCCAGCTAGCAGTACCCAGTAGAATGTGCCACCACTGGTATCCGTAAGAGGCTTATTGGAAATCAAGACATCTACCTTTGTGAGCATGTGGTAGTGATGTGTAAAAAAAAATCCAGCTAACACCAAAGGTTAATAATGTCTAGAATCTTATAATATAAAAAGTCTGGGATTTTTTTTTTAAATCAAATAATATAGCAAATAAGATCTCAGTGTGAATGCAACAGTGTAATCAATGGATGTCAGTGCCAAGATGACTGAGATGTTTGTCTGACAATGATTTTAAAGCAGCCATATTAATGCTTCAATAAGCAATCAGATATTCTTGAACATGGAAAAATATAAATGGTCACAATAACCAAAATAAAAAGTTCAGTGGATGAGCTCAACAGAATGGAGGGGACCAAGCAAAGAATCAGGTAATAGAAATGATCTAACCTGAACAAGAGAACAGACTTAAAAAAATCTAGACAAAACTTCAGGGCCTATAGGACTATTTAAAAAACAAATCAATCTCAACACAGTGATGCACTTTGTAATTCCCGTTACTTGGTATGCCGAGGCAAAAGAATTGCAAGTTCTAGGTTTTTTTTTTTTTGGTACTGGGAATCAAACACAGGACTTTGTGCTTGCTTGAGCCATTGAGCCGCTGAGCTACAAGTAGGCACTGAGCTATCTCTCTTACCCATAAGTTCCAGTCTAGACTGGACAACTTAGTGAGACCTTGTCTTAAATAAAAATAAAAAGCAATAGGGATGTAGCTTACTTTGCTAGCATGTATGAGGACCCAAGTCCAATCCTCAGTACCAGGAAGAAAAAAAAAATGTTCATACCATAGATGGCCTAAAAGGAGAGAGATGGCAGAACTTTAAAAGTATTCAAAAACTCATGGTTGAGCTGGGCATGGTGGCACATACCTATAATCCCAGCTACTTAGGAAGTTGAGGCAGGAGGACTCTTAAGATTGAGACCAGCTTGGGCAGTTTAGTGAGACCCTATCTCAAAATATAAAGGGTTGGGTATCCGATATAGCTCACTGCAGAGGATTCTGCTTCAATCTCTCTGATTTCATACTTCTGTGTTACAAAAGAAATTACAATGTAATTAAGGTCATCATAGAGCAGGTATGCTGCTGTGAGATATGGTCCTACAAGTAAACCTTCCAGTACCTGTCCTTGACCTGACAGTAGGGAGAGATTTGAGACAGAGATGGAAAACTGTCTTGTAGTACCATGGTCTGGTTCTGAAGATGAACTAAAGTAACAGCAAATCTAGTTTAATTTGCCCTTTCGATGTAAAATAGAACTTAAGGTATTAGCCCTAATAAAATGCATTTTAATCTCATTAACACATAAATATTAACTAGCTAGAATCACATAGTCTTATAGTGATAGATCACTTACCTAACATAAAGCCTTGGGTTAGATCCCTGAAACCACAAACCATAGACAGACAGACAGACAGACACACACACACACACACACACACACACACACACACCTGTACACACAGAGTCAACAAATTTAAAATGTTCACTCCAGGACAAAACTTTAAATGTAAACTTACTGTTTTAATACAATATTCTTAGCGATATGCTAAAATATACCAACATGCTTATATTCCCTGTTTATTGTTTATGATCAGATCCTAACAGAGTAACACAAAGACTTACTCTTTCTTGAAATACTGTTTCGTCCCATGTCTGAAGTCTTGAAATGGAGTCATTCATCATTTTTTCCTTGTATAAGTTTATATCTTCTTTTTCAATTACATCAGCATTACTACTCAGAAGATAGCACTTGCTACCTTTTGCTCTTCCTCTGCCTACCAGGAAATAAATATGTTGATGTTTTTTACTTAAAATTCTGATACAATAAAGGAATAAACGAAAGGACAGAGCTATTCCTAAAATTGAGTTACAGTCAATGAATCCTGTTTCCTAGTGAAGTCAAACTGTTAAAGAGTAGACCAAATGCAGATAAATGAGGAGCCCACCTCAGGCTAGCTTTCTTGGACTCTCCAATATGCAATATGATTGGACAGTAATACTGTGAGAAACATTGCTTTAAATATAGTCCAATTTGAATCCTCAGTTTGATCCTGAACAATCTAGTGAATAACAAATAGATCCTCCCTCGAGAGCCTTTTAGAGAATGGGGAGACATGTTCACAACCACAGCCAATCGGGGAAATGATAAATATTCTTATGAAGAAAAGATTGCTGGCATTCAAGAGATTATTTTACTGGGGGGGAATCAGGGTCAGGTGAGATGAGTTACAGGGAAAAGGAAATGAAGAGTAGCAGCATATGAGCAATTCTTTAGGGAAAATGGAGGAAGTCTGAATATAAGTTAGTGGAAAAAACTCTTAACTATCCAGTCCTGACCTTTTTAAGCTAATTATATGAATCCACTGTTCCATTAGTCACATACTCATGGCTCAGTAAGGAGAAAGGCAAAAATGATAGACACATGAAGCACACAAAACGGGGACCATGTGGAAATGGCATCAAAGCATCTCACCTCTGGTTTGGATCATTCTGATGACATTGCCCACATACTCATACAAGATAACCAAATTGCACTGAGCAATGTCAATGCCTTCATCAGCAACCGAGGTGGCAATCAGAATATTATCTCCACTGGCTCTGAATGTATCCAGTACACACTTCTGTGCCGGGAGGGTCATTCCTGTGTCAGAGTAAGAGGATATTATACAACTCACCAAAGAAGGAAACATGCCCTTGAAAATATGGCTACTAATTATGTAATACTTATTATAAGGTAGGTATTGATAACTGCTTTATATTCATGATCTTCTAAATAACCATAGGCCATAAGATCCTTTCCTGTGCTTGTTTTAGAAAAAATAGAGTGACCATTAACAGTTGGGACTCTGTCATAATACCACCCTGAGCTCAAATCTCAGTTCTGACATTTACTAGCAATGTAGCTTTAACCCTGTCATTCCAAAACAAATGTTGAAATATTGACCTTTTCACAAAAATATCAACATCTAATGTGTAGGAGTTTACAACTAACAAAACACTTTCACAGCTTATCAGCCAAATTTCACAAAGCCTTGTTAGGTCAATGGGGCAAGTGGTATGATTCTACTTTATAAATAAAGGCCTTCAGATTCTGGAGGTGAGGTGAACTAAGAAGCTAACAAGTGGAAGAACTGCACCTCGAAGTTAAGTGTATGACCCAAACAGTGTGCACTGCTAGAGTCTCTGCCCATCTTCCCCTATCTTACGGTCCCTGCCTTTTTCTAAGAATCATTTCCTGTCACAGTCTCAGGAAAAACTAAGGGTGGATAAAAGAATATAGCATTTTATTCCGTATCAATGAATCAACACTAGCTCTAGCCACAAAACCCTATTTTTGCTCATGGGAACAAAGTTAAAGTATAAATTTCAGTGTCTTTTGCACCTAGATGAGGCCTGTGGACTGAATTCTTACTAATGATACATAGGCAGAAATACATCTTCTCCAAACCTGACCCTACAACACTCTTATTCCTTATCAATAGGCTACAGAAGTTACAGCAGAGGATTGAAAACCCCCTGAGATGATAGAGCCAAAACAAGGAGCATGGCAGAGTCTACAAATAAAGTGAGGTGCAGGGAGAAAAGGCCCATATTCACTCATCTGGTCTTGGACTACAATTTAAGCTAGCAACAACTTTCATTGTGTTATGTCCTTGTGATTGTGGAGCATCAGATTACTCTTATTTAGCTAAAGCCTGTTCACCTGGTGAGAACTATTGGGTTAAAACAAGCACTTGAACCACACAGAGTCAATCAGATCCTCTCAGAATCTGATGTGATTTTGAGACAGGTAGTAAATATGTAAAGTATGGAGAAATGTATGAATGAAGAAGCAGAGAGAGTAACCTATAAAGGGAAAAGAGTGAAACAGATGCTCAAGATTCAGATAACTTTCCAATCTCAGTTACAGTTGTCCATGAAGTCAAAGTACACTTCCTAGTGGTGGGTTCCTTGCAGATCTGAACACCCTAGCAGCTTGCCCTCCTTACTTGGACTAGCCTAAGTGGGTTTCTTTTAATTAGAGGAGAGGACCTTGTCTAAGACTATAGTCACATACTGCTTTCCAATACCTTACAATTTTGAGGACTAATTTAAATCATTAGAATATAGAGTGAAGTTAGGATATGGCAATCATCTAGTTTGTTTTGATTATGACAATACCTAAAATGGTAACTCAAAGAATATACACACATAAATTCAAACTTTTAAAGGGTCCGCTAGACCAAGCTACATTTAAGTATTAGTTGAATCACCTTATGACCTCTACTCTTCACAGAGAAAACCTACTTTAGGCAAGCAGAGGAAGTTAATATTATTTTCCTTTACCTACCTGGCAATGAGATCTCAGCTTTTAAAAAGACTCTTCTAAGTTTATAAGTTAATCATAATTCAAAGTCATAAAAATTCAAGGGCTGTTTTATTTTTAGAAAGTTTCTTTAAAATTAGTCCTTGTATATTATTGATTTTACTTTGGAGTTTTCTTTAAAATTCTTTGTTAAAGATATAGATTCATGGGGCTGGTGAGATGGCTCAGTGGTCTAAAGCACCTACTTAGAACAAGCTTAGCAAAGCACAGGGACAGCGGTTCAATCCCCTAGCACCACATGCCAGCCAGCCCCGCCCCCTGGTGGGCTGAGCTGGCCACACACACACACACACACGCACACACACACACAATAAATTTAAAAAAATTAAAAAAAAATATATAGATTCAAATTTCTTTTTGTTTAAGATGCATATGTACTTTCCATTTCTTTTGAACCCATGTATTCTTAGTAAAACCAAAACCAAACAAAGTGAACAATAAATACCATGTAAAAGGTCTATATGTGACAAATGTTAGCTAATATTTAGCATATTTTAAGCATTTACCATGTGCCTGGCACTATTCTAAACTAGGAGTTGGAAAACTTTAAAGACTGGGTATTAAATACTTCAGGCTTTGTGAATTATATTGTGAATAGATGTTCATTTAGAAGTTAGAGATTATGGTTTGTCAGGTAAGAATATGATGGTAGACTCCACTTTTACCCCAGTTCCTAGTCTGTGAAAGAAAGCTATGAATGGGAAGCCATGGTTCAGGGGAATGAGCAATAAACTGGATGCCACAGGAATGCAGTGGAGAGGCTTCTCTATCAGTTTACAGATGATAATGTGGCTGGCTGTTTGGCACAGGCATACTGCTGACATAGAGTAAGTCCCAAGTACATGTTGGATGGAAAGGTGAACAAAGAAAGAAGAAAATGTTTTCTGAGTGCCTATTAGGGGGGAATAATAAAGTTTGAAAATCTACTTAGGTTCAATGGTGGAGTCACTGAGAAGTTTCAATTCCAACCTCATTAAGTTCAATACCTTGGTAAGTCATATTTTCCAAATCCTGAATCTACAATTTATATTCATTAAGTTTAGAAATTCTATGCAGGGGAAGTACAAGTATGATGACCAAGAGCTAAGAGAGTAAGGAAGAAGCTGGTGATAACAATAAACTAAACTATATATGAGTAGCATGAGGACCTGTCAGGGCAGGTCATGGAATATTGCATGAAATATTTTTCTAATGGATGGGGAACCCAGCTGTGTGGAAGAATGAATAAGGGATGACTGAGTATCCCCCCAAATCTCAAGACATACTTCAATCATCTAGACTTTTTAAACTGTAAAGTATATACTATACAGAACAGCTGTATATCTGCAGTTAAAGAAAATAATATAGAAAAATACTTTAAGGACTATTTCTACTTTAATTTTTACATTTGTTACTTGCAAATTTGAGGATAGAGGAATACTCAAACAATATTTTAAAAACTCTGACTTGCCTGCAAAATATATGAGGCTGTACTTTACTACAAAGAAAGCACTTGTGTGATTACAGTGTTTGAACAATGCGATGGCTTTTTTTTTTTTTTTGAAACAGGGTCTCATGAAATTGCTCTGGCTGCCCTTGACACTGTAATTCTCCTGCCTCAGCCTCCTCAGTAGCTGGCATTACAGGTATGCTCCACCATGCTTGACAACGTGATGGTCCATTTTATGTATCAACCATGCTAAGCTGAACTACAGTCTCCTGTTATTCCTCTAAATACTGATTGAAGGGATTCTGCATGTGTGATTAAAATCCCTAGTTAACTTTAAATTATATCAAAAGGGTGAGACTGGCTGTGGTGGCATGCGCCTGTAATCCCAGCGCTTGGGTGGCTGAAAATAGGAGGATCACTATGAATCCAGTCTGTGTAGTGAAACCCTATAGATCCTGTACTAAATACATAAAAATAAATAAATAAATAAATAAATAAATAAATAAAATCAAAAGGTAGGCCTAATCTATTCAGCTGAACGTCTCACAAACTTT